GATAAGAATTCTGATGAAAATCCTGCCAAAAGTTTCTCCAGACAAGGTGTTAATTGTAATGTCCAATCTTGTTTGTTAGGGATAAATCCAGCGTCGGTTAAATATCGAAATATAAACCAACATATAAGGGATTGAATTATCCCTCTTTAATAAGGCCGACTTTTTAAAATGGAACATCAATCTTAATATTATCTAGTATTGCGTGTCCAACATATGTAGCATGACAAATATTTGGAACTTGTTAAGTCACTCAAACTCGAACTTGAAACAACAATAAAAACGAAGTTTTGGGGTTTAGAATGATGTCTGGTTTTTTCAAGAAATGTTTAACTGACTCTTAAATTGGTGAGAATCATTGACATTTTAGCCTTGGCTAACAAATTTTGTGACTATAAATATTACGGTAGTCGACCTTGGAGAGTAACTTCAAGTTGTCGAGACTTTAGTGAATATTAGTAATTACATTTATATTGTGGTGGTCCCAACCCGGTCAACCTTGGCTGGCAAATTTTGTGACTATAACTACTATGGTAGCGACCTTGGAGATTAACTTCAAGTTGTCCTCTGAGATCAGTTATAATTATCCAACATAAGAAGGTGAAGAGTTGTTTACACAGAAGGTAACTTAGGTTAAGATGGAATACAAATCCGCAGTATATAGTGACAAATTATATTATTGCAAAGCATCTATTTTGTTTTTTTCTTCAATTTCATCGAAAATTCTCATTGTCGTGTTGCATTGCCATTATGTAATCTAAACCAACAATAATAAAGGGAAAAAAAATGCTAGCACGTGAATACATAATTTTATTCTATTTTCTTGAATAGCGTACGTCTAGTGCTAGACTGTTCACCTTACCACACAAGCTAAACGGACGTGAATCTAATCGAAAGTGAAATCTAAATCGGCAAATTCATCAAAACCCTCCATGTCGAAGCATTTCATTTTTGGAGACCAAACCATTAAGGGTTCCAAAGATTTCATGTCATGCCATAAGCTTGAATCAGACATATCACTCCGTACTATGTCTTCTTTAGATTCAAAGGGAATGGTAGGCCCTGCATCCACTGGAGGAATTTTTTCTTCAAAACAAAGTAGATTAGATTCAGGTAGATCTGTATCTATAATTATTTGTCGGGCCATCAGTTTATCTCTGCAGGTGTGGTGGCCAAAGTACGTCGTTCGATACAAAATGGGATCTTCTTTGATTCTTTGAACTTGCTTTGTAGCCTTGCAACCTTGATTCTTGTGGGTGCATCTAAAGTAGCATCTGTAAACCACAAATAATGAAAATTGAGTTATTTATATTTTTTCTTAAACTTATATGTCTGGACTCACTTTTTCATTAAAGAAGTTGTATGTTGAATATTCATAAATGAATAGCGACAAGTTGAATCCCATTATCTCCCCATGTATTAATATTTTACCTAGGATATTTTGCATTGAGAATAATTTTCTGTCCATATTTCCTCCATGCACAACCATCCTCCTTCGTTGGAAAAACTGTTGTCCATGAATCACTGGTCTTTCTGCAAATTCAACAAAGCAATCTAATTACTAAATAAAATTAATTTTAAATTTCTTTTATGAAAAATGAGGTCGAATTTCAATAAAAAGAAGATTACCCTAATTGTATGGCAAGAATCTGCATAAAATTTTGTTATATTAGAAAAGGACAAACTTGATTTCTTGGTTTTTTGTATGGCAACTTGCTTTAACAGAAAAAGTTGAAGCTTATCTCTTTCAAAGCACATCTGGCCACTGCATTTATTGATCTATATTAACTTTAAAAAAACGTGCATAAATGTCCACTCGTAGCTTTCCTTTCGTAATTTCAGTATCAATAAATATGGTTGTTGCCATTTTAATCCACCTTGTCTGTAAAAACATAAATTCTAAGAGATGGATCAAGATTTGAATTCAAGATCTTCATTACTTGACTTCGATAATTTGTTATACCATTTTATCTAAACACTTAAATTATTAAAATCTACGGTCCGTCAACCCTAAATAGCCACAAGAAATTTGAGGATGTCTCAATTTTGGGTTTAAAAAAAATTATTTTCCCCAAAACTTGTAAGCAAAAGTGTATCCCAGATATGTGTATAGCAAGAAAACAAATCAAATAACAATCCCACCTTCTCTTGTGACAGCCTCTCCGAGCCTTGACTCTTGGCCTCTTCTTATTCTCACCGGAACAGTCTGAGCCGCCGTGGTCACCGGCGGCTATCAGGGATCTCTTTTTTGCACCACCACCATAATTGAGCACGGAAAGAATCTCGGTGAAAGATCTAATGATTTTGAGAGAAAGTTCCTTAGCTAAAACTGATCCATGATCAGTAACAGGCTTCTGCAGTACGGTTTTGAGTTGGGTTGCAGTTTCTTTTCCTCTCACTAACTCTCCTATCACCATTTTCCGTTTTGTAGGCAGATCTTTATAACTCAAACTGCTCATTGTGTTCACCCGGTCAGTGTCTGTAGAGAGAGAAACTGAGAGTGTGTGTGTGTGAGAGAGAGAGAGAGAGAGAGAGAGAGAGAGAGAGAGGATAAGGGTTGAAGTTAAGGTATTAGGAAGAACGAGAGAGGAAACTAAATGGAAGAAGACAGATAGAAAAACCTTAGCTTTTCTTTATAAAGCCTAAATTTGTGACGTCGTGATGAATGACGTACTCTTCTCAAATAGATTATGGCTAGATATTAAAATTCGAATTTAAATTTAAATCTAAATCACAATAAAAATTTAATTTTAATCACACATCTTACAAATTTCGTACATTTTCAACCACACATTTCATCATTTTTTTTAATCAAAATTTAATAAAAATCTGATGTTAATTGCCAGGGGCTAACTCTAATTTCCCTCTATTGAACCCGTTTTCTTGATTTCATACCATAAAATCTCAATTTGGTGTTTTAAAATACTAAAATTGCATAGTTCGTCCCACTGCATAGCCTTATAATTAAGCAAGTTGCCAGTATGTATTACCCTAGCAAGTTAGTTCCTAGCAACGCTCTACAGTAATGCAAGAGGTCACGGCTTGCAGGGAAGAGATGCTCGATCTTATAATGGTTATCACACTATGGGATTGTTTGGTAGGACATGGTTCCGAGCTTGAGTTACCTTTTAAACTAAGTTGAGGCGGATAATCAATTGAATGAAAAAAAAAATTCCAAAATTTATACAGGGACATTCTGTACTGCTGAATATAGCACATACCCTCCTTAATTTTATAGGAAACAAAAAGTATGATAACGCCATTTTTATCGTGCTTATTCAGAATGGAGGAATCATAGGAATTCTCGTATAGAGAGCAATAATTACATTAAAGAAAAATGAAAGTTGATCATTGGCCTTCCATCATAGTGTACAATTAGTTTTCAGTGATAAAACAATTAAAATCTTTGTTAAATCATTATGGTCTCTCATAGAAACATGTCTCACAACAAATTTTTAAGCATCATCTCATATTGTGGAACAAAAATCAACTTCATAAAATTGGACTAGTGAGAGTTAGATGATGATTTAACAAAGATTTTGGTTGTTTCAAAAAAAAAAAAGGGACTTCTTGTGTAACTACAATAAAAAGCATAGTCTTATGGATTAACTTTCCATTGAGGAAATAAGTTGGGGAGTAATGATGCATTTTTTTCATAAAAAATGGTAGCAATTCAATAGAAATTACTCTCTCTCTCTCTCACCTCTCTTTTAAGCTATTCAAGTAAGTCCATCAATTATAAAACTCCTCATCCCCTTTCCTCACTGTAAATTACAGATTACAGTAATTTAGATGTGTGTGATTCCTTTAAGATATGTTTTTCTTAACAGTGATTCACCTGTAATTTAAATCAAATAATTAGCAGTGAACCAAACTTTATTTTAATCAAACCAGAACTTATTGTTACGCTTCTTCCCAAGCATGGCCACATGGTAATTGGGAGGTAATAGAAAAGCACAATTTCAAACAATGTGATATAGACCACGCCAAAGCACTGCTTCTTCAAGAATAGAACATGCAACAACAATACATCTCAGTCTGAAAGCCCACGCATTATATGAGTATCCATACATGAACTTGGGAGATTAATGTTACTTCTCTTCCCAAGCATAGCCACATGGCAGTCGCACGATAAGAGAACTTGAGCCTGCACTCCATCTCATCCCGCCTATGTGGGAATTTGACCGAACCCCCATGAAGAGGTCAAACCCCATGGACTAGGTGAGGCAAGTAGAGGCTGTGTAGAGGATCTTCTATGCAGAATCATCAATGAATGATCGATGTGACAATTCACTATAATTGCCATCCTACCAAATCAGAAGGTCAAGTTTAAAAGCCCTATAAGTCAAGTTTAGGGCGGCAAAAGAGTTATAACATTAACTATGTTTGATTGATTGACGGCTATGATAAAAGGCCTTGACTGTTTGGATGAAACCGCGTGCCTTTTCATCCAACAATTTTTACTCATCTCATTCTATTATAAAAACTCACACTTTGTGCCATTCACAAGTAATGGAAGTTTATAATCTCAAACTATAACTTCGATATCTCTCATTACTCTCCATATTCTCTTCGGATTCAAATCCTTTTTACTTAAGTGGCTCACGTCCTAATGTGCAAGCACTACGTGATGAAGACCCGAGATCTATTGACCACGTCCCCCTACAAAAAATGAGGTCCACACTTATTTCTTAATCAAACACATAAAATATTAATTAGAATAGTATGATCAACTGTAACATAGAACATGCAAGTGCTAGCCACAATGATTGAGCGTAAGACGTTTATAGAATTGTAAGTAGCTTTTTAAGAACCTATTTTATGTGTTATGTTTGTGACTCAAATTTTATGTGATTTGAAAGTTTGATTCATGGAGGAAGCCTAGATAATGTTGGTTTGAAAGTCCGATTTGATAAGGGATCAAATTTTATCATGAATTGAGAGTTCGATTGGTAAAACAACTTTGAAATGGATGAAAAAGTGTTTTGAAAACATTGGAATGGAGCCGGGTGGGCGCAGCATAGTTGCAAGAGGACATGGGTTGGGTATCGCGACGCTGGCCATAGGGCACGGCATCGCCCGACAAGCAAGACCTGCATCACAGCGCCACCGGACGGGGAGAAAAAGGTCTCCTGTTGATTTTTTACCGCGATCCTTGTGCTTTCCTTCATCCAAAACTCTAAAATTGGACTCCTAAATATCCTTCATGGAGTGTAGGCTTTCCAAAGATATAACATAATCGTTAGATCATTGTTATATACAATAGAAATAGAGAATTGTTAAGATTTAAATTGAGTGTATCAAATCTTGTAAAATAATTTTAATTTTTTGATATAATAAATTCTCATTTTTAACATAAATTTTGTGCTCGTGTGATCCATTATTTTCATAATTCTCATATTATTTTAATTTTTAATTATTTGGTCAGATTCTCAACATTATGCTTTATTATATTTCATAAAAATGCACATAATTGCATATCCCGAAAACCAAATTATATTAAACAAGTGAATTGATATAGATTAATTGTAGATTTTGGGTTTCTTGCTCAACATGCCCTTCAAAGCTTATAAAGGCCAAAAATAAATATATTAATATTTAAAACATAAAAACTTACTTTAATTATAAGTGACAAAGATCTTTATATATATATATATATGTTGGAGTATAATGTGTTCAACAAAACATAAAAACTTCTCAAAAAATATTTATCAAAGATCTGGATGACAAGCCATTAAATATGAATATTTACTTGATTATTTCACACATTATTGTGGAAAAAGTAGAGCACACGTCAACCAAATACTGTGCTTTAGATCTTATCTTCTCCAACTTAATTAATTTTGTTTTGGTAGGTGAGAATATAGTGGCTCACATCACCAATTAAATCTATGGTGCCTTTAATTCCATTTACTTTTTTACAAAAACTGTCATTTTTCACTCAAATTCTTAATTTAAAGTGTTTGATTGCTATTTTTTTTATGGAAAATATTTTCTAACTTCTAAAAATATGCCTAATTTTCCTTTTTTTTAAGCAAAACATTTTTTTTTTTGGGAGAGTTGGTTTTTGTTTTCCTCAAATCAAGGGAAATATATATATATATATATTTTCAGAATATATTTTTCATGGCAATCAAACACACTCTTAGGTCACAACACCAAATTATCTTTTCTAAGACAATAAAAATATATGACACGTGAAAATTCGATGTACAATGATGATTGTCCCTTTTAATAATCCATGATGATTATTGCTATCTTCTATCACATGTGAGAATCACGAGATTTCTTTAATTTATCATACAGACGCTATTTCAAAATAACTTTTAAAGTGATGTTATTTGTCGAGATAATTATTAGCAATTTCTATGTGGTATTGGGGACCATCACATCATTCAATGAAGAAAAATGAATCAATAAAAGTGATTTTCCTGCTATATGGACCATTGAATATCGTCATATTTGAAGAATCGATTATTCTAACTTTTATGACGATTGAAAAATGACACTTGAAAATGTGATATAATGGTGAGAGTTAGTGACATCATCTTCAATCACAAATGGTTCACCTTCGTTATTTGAGATGAACGCCATTTTAATTATTGGTGCCTTCGTAGAATTTTCTCTATAATCTTTCACTTTTTACTCGTCCATTAATATTGATTGTTGAGTTGGTATATATATACACGTTTCACTCTTAATTTATCTGTTCATAATAATTTTACAGAACTTTTGAAGATAGAGGCTTTTATAGGAAAATTATCGGATTTGGTAGATGTAATCGCGTGTAAAATAAAAATCGAGATAGATTGTATCCATGAGGTTAGATAGGTATAGAAGGAAAAAAATGAGAAATATGTTGACCCCAAAAAATGTTGCCAACAGATGCCGGGCCCACTCGTGCACGTGCAAGCCTTGTCCAACACGCTTGTGCCGATGAATGGTCAGAAAATTTCCAGAATCCGGGCGTGGGAGGAGCTCGCCACACGAGACATCAGAGTTCGTGGCATGAAGAAAGAACACGATTGTATAAGAAACCAATCGATAAATAACAG